TTTCTATGTGTCTTCTAGCACAAAAGCTCTAAAGAGATATCTAGAGATTTCAAAACCCCATTAATTGCTACCCCCAACTTACAGATGAGAAAACTAAAGCTTGGAGAGGTTAGGTAACTTGTTCAAACTGACACACTTAAGCAAACGCAGGAGCTGGAATTTCAACTCAGGTGTTGTGTGACTCCAGAGCTATGTGGGAAAGTGTTAAACTAAATTTTACTCCAAACAAGTCTACTAATATTCAGTCTTCAAATGATTGAAAGCATGGACTAAATTCTGAGAGGATCAATAAAGTATTTCATAAAGTACATGGGATCAAGCCCACCACAAAGGATGGTTGCAAATAACACACAATAGTTCAGAGTGAACACTAAGGAAACTTGGCACTCCCCAGGACAGCTGGCACCTTTTCTCTGCAGGTGGTACTGCTAATTCCAAATGGACTAAATCAACATTTCTTGGGAAACAAAGATGCTACGTGAACATGCTGTAGAATTAGACCTAGACATGGACCCTGGCCCTTCCACTTTCAAACATCATGTACCCTCTAGCAAGTTACTTAAGTTCTGTGAGCTTCTAATGCGCAAATAATATGCCTATATCTTGTAGTGTTTGGGGGTTCAGTCAAAGAGAGAATCCATGCAAACACTGACAGTTCCTGGCATAAATAAAGCCCTCATATGGCAGCTAGTCCCAATTCTGCCACTATTCCTGGGCAAGTCATTCACTCTGAGCTCAGTGTCCTCACATATGGCCCCTTGCAGCTCTAAAGTCTGATTCATGTGCCCTCGATGGGCTGATCTGGGCCCTGACCCAGCACATGAGCAGCCTCAAGGGGCCACTCAGTCAGTCATTCCAGTTCTCATTCCAGTTCTTCCTCTGTGTGAAGCAGGATGTTTGTGTCAATCACTCCTTCCTACTGCACCTCAGTTTCCCTCCCTTCCCACCCATAGTCATAAAGTGAGGACACGTGTGCAACATGCTTGGAATTCTACCAAAGTTCTGCGCACACTCAAAGAGGCGTCATCCTGCCCAGCGGTCAACATCGCCTGCCTGGCAAACTCCCCACGCTGACCGCACGGCACCCAATGTGGACTTCCTTCAGCTCCCGAGGGCTCTCGCTGCTTCTCCTGAAGACCCTCTTGCTAAAAGGCAAGATATATTTTCTTCCAATTTCTTCCATCCATTAATAGAACAGGAATTCTCTCCTTGGAATTTCTTTAAAAATCTTTAAACTCTCACGATATCATCTTCAGGGTTTAAATTTTTAAAAAAGGAAATTTCCACAGCAAAACCTAAATCTGCTTGTGTGCATTCTCTCCATTTCTTAGGCTATTGTTACAAAACTAACAATTCAAGTGTCAGATCGAAGTGCTGGTAGAGCCTCTGTCTGCAGAGAGGGACACCGTGCCTGTCCAGGAAGGCAGGCGGAGGGGGCGTCAGTTTTTCACTGGCCTGCAGAGGGATTGGCCATACACACAGCCAGGTCTTAACTGCCACCTGACTTGTGGGGGAGCGAGACCAGCGCAAACACTGATTCACATGGCAAAAGAGACCAAAAAACCTGATGATTCATCAACAAATACAATAGTATAGGAATAGATTCTGGAGTAGGTAAGAGGAAAATCCTATATAGTTCAAAATTATCCTAAAAACTCCATAGGAAGCAAACTCAGCTCTCAAGAAGTCCAAAGTAGTCCATATCTCCTCCAGGCAGACTTGCGCTGGAGCCAATCTGTTGCACATAACTGCGTGACCTTGGGCAAGTTATTTAACCTCTCTGTGCCTGGTCTCTGCTTAATTGTGGCTTCCTCCCAGGGCTGGGAGGGTTAAATAAGAATCCAGGAAAAGGGCAGAGCGCAAAAACTGACCCACTGAAGTGCTCGATCACACCATCAAGCACTCAGCCATCAGAGCACAGATACAGAATGGCTTCTCTTCTCATCCTGAAACTGCCTGAGACCTGCATCTTCACAGTCCTCGCTGTGGCAGGTACCAGACTTCAGAGGATGTGGCCAAAGTGACACAGCCCCTCCTGTGTACACAACACACACCTCTACCCAGAGCAGCACTGGGCCAGTCACCAGAATCGCTCTCTATGACCTGTCTCCTTCACAAGCCTCTGTCCACCTGAGGACAAAAATGGCTCCCTATTTCCACATAGCACACGGCAGTGTGGTGGCTGACGGTGGTTAACAGAGGCTGTCTCTTAGTTTGAGTCCTGGCTCGGTCATTCACCAGCTGTGTGCTCTCGGGGCAGCTAAACTTCTCTATTACATTACCTGTAAAATGGGATTACATGGAACAGAGCCTGGCAGAGAAAGCATTATTATGTTTTTTGTTTTTTTAAAATAAAACAGATGGTCTCTGAGACATCACATTGAGCAAGTCTCAAATCCAGCTCATCTCCCCACCCCTACCCCCAGCCTTATTCTCCTTCTGTATCCTAATTTGGTGGCATCACTGCCCACCCAAGCTCAAAAATTCTACCCTCCTCAGCTCTTCCTATACCTTCTTCTTGGCTTTCCCTACTCTCCTGCCTACTCCCTCACCACCCTTCTAATGATCATCTAATGACCAAGTCCTGTCAATTCTACCTAAAACTCTTTCCCTGCCCCCACCTCCCTGTCCCAGCATTGTCTTAGCACAGACCCTCTCTTCTAATATCCTTATGGCGCCCTCCTGACAACCGTCCTGGATAGCAGTCCCACCCCTAACCCACCCTCCTACTGCTGAGGAACACCAACCTGGTCATGCTCCTCTCCTCCCTCTAAAGCAGCGGTAGGGAACCTTTTTTCTGTCAAGGGTCATTTAAATATTTACAACATCATTCAAGGGCCATACAAAATTATCAACTTTAAAATTAGCTATGAAAAAGCTCCTCGATTTATTGAATTTTGAGTGCCCCCTGTGGTTGCCTTGGCAGGGCCACACCAAAAAATTTCTCAGGCCATATATAGGGTCCTCAGGCTGGACGTTCCCCACCCATGCTCTAAACCTTCAAGGGCTCCCCAATGCTCCTTTATGTAGTGTGCAAAGCTCTTAACAGTTGGGCCAATGTCCCCCTTCAGTCTCCTCTCCTACCACTAACCCTCACATACTCTCTGCTCCAGCTGTAAGGAACTTGGCTGCCCCCCAAACATGCCAGGTCCTTTCACACTTCTGGGCCAGTCCCTACCCTCTGGCCTGGCCAAGCCCCACCCATCCCCTGGGAGGCAGCTCCAAGGTTACCACCACTTGGAGGCTTTCTTTCTTCAGGCCCCCCCTACTACCTGTAAGGACCTCCTCACTGCTTCCCCCCAGCAGACTGTCAACTCTCAAGTGCAGGCAAGGATCATGCCTTCCACCTGTGGGCCCCGCCAGTGTCCGACACACCGGAAGCACTGAGTAAGCAAGTATTAGGCACAGGGCAGAGATGTCAAAAATACTTATTGGATTTAAAGGTAATGTACCACCATTACCAGTTAAAATCACCCAAGTTCCAAATACAGAATCTCAAAGATTCAGTGTGTGGCTGGACCACAGCACAGAACGGGACAGGGGGTCCCAGGAATGTCAGCATTATAGAATGCCCCAAGACAAAGCAGAGTCCGAGTGCCAGCCTCAAGCCCCTTCTAAAGCCAGCCTAAGAGTTTACAGTTTCCCTCTGGCGTTAGCTCCAATGCCCCGTCATTGCCACTAAAAATTAGAGCTGGGCAAGACGCTAGGGCAACCCTTCTCTTTTAGAGAGACCAGTTCATTACTTTTCTCAAGTTGTAAGTGCCCAAGTTCTTAAGCATACCTACCCTACAACTGAGCCTTTTTCCATCTTTTTAATCTCTCATTGAACCCACAAGAGTCTGCAGCATCCCTCAGCATACCCAAAGCACTACAGAGCTGATACTGGCCTGGCTGGGGCCCACATCTACTCTCCCAAAGGCGAGGCCCTAGCCGACTGTGTCCTCGACACGCTACACCCCCATCATCAGGCAAAGAGCAGCCAGCATCAGAACGCTGGGGAGGCTTGGGGTCTGTTCCTGGACTTGGCTATTTCAACTAGACTTGAAGCACAGATATCCTGACAGACAGTCACTCTCAAGTACCACCCCTACCGAGTCTTACCATGGCCTAGCCCTAGGGCTTCACCGCCACGTTCCTGGCAGGGAAGGCCAGGAAGCTGAGCACTGCCAGTCGGCAAGCAAGGTGGCAGCTGGCCATGGCTGGACTAAGGTGTCTACCCCCACCAGGTGCCTGCTCCACCCACCACTGTGCCGCACTCTTCCTCCCTGGCCCCCAGGTGCCCAGCGCCGCACTGCAGTCTCATCCTGGCTAGTGAGACAAGACCTCCAACTGCTCCCAACACCGTATCACACCCAGAGTCAGACAACCGCACCAAAACCCGCTGTGAAGAGTCGACCTAACGCAGGCGACCTGCATTTTAGGAGTCCACTAACTGGGGCATCACCCAGCCCATGGAAAAGCAACCCCCTGCCCCACCCATTCACAGAAGGAGCAACTTTCCCTCCACTCCGTGCAGGAATTGCCACTCTTTCATAGATCTGCTTTCTACAACATAAGACACGTGGAGGTGACCAGCAATAAGAGGTTCCTAACGCCCCAGAGTCGTCCCTGGGGTCAATCTTTCGGGAGCCCTTTCCCGGGGAATGAGCTTCTTAAGGAAAGCAGCCCCTAAGAACACCTTGTAAGTGGGATCTAGTGCTGGCTCACGGCCAGGAAACTGGCAATCTGGTCTGGTCTGACTAAAATTGGAAACGGGAGGTATTTCTGGTCCCCTTTCCCAGGGGATGTGAATGTCGGGAGTTGGAACTCCGGCACAACGCGCATTCCCGGCGACCGAGACCCCTCCCACTCTGCCCCACCGCGGGGAGCGGCCGGGAGACCGGGAATCCGAGGGGCGAGGTGAAGGGCGGGGCGCGTCGCGATGCCAGGGCCGCCGCCCCGCTCCCAGGAGGCCGGTTTCCCATTCCTGAAGGGGGTCTCCCGGCCGCCCGCGCACTCACCTCCCGCGCGGAGCGGAGCTGCTGGCGGAGCGCGTCCTTGCAGCCGTAAGGGCCGCCGGGGCCCGCGCCGCGGGGCTGGAAATGCGCCTCGACGCGCGTGGCGCCGCGGTAGGCGCCCTGGTAGAAGGCCGGCCAGCCGAGCTCCAGCAG